CAGACAAATCATCTACATTTTTTTAGTAAAAGAATAATCCAAGTAAGTTTCTGAATCTTCCAGGATTACAATGATTTTTGTTTCTTGCCTTTTCTAAACACTAAAATTGTTTATCCAATCTTATTTGCATATTATGTCCTTCCAGAGGTTTTAAGGCAGAATTTGTCTGTTATTTTCAGATCCTGAAGACAAACATTGGCTTTGTGTTTCATTGTGTTTCCTTATTTGATAGTCTCAAGTATTCCATTGTTCAAATTTGCATGCGCTATGAAAATATGTATTTGTGTAAATTATACTTACAAAGTTTAGTATTTCCAAATGTGCATCATAAAGACTACTCTAATTATAGGGCATGAAAGATTAAAGCATAAAAGCGGGACTATTTTAGGAGGAGAGGAGACACAGACAAACATAATCCTTCTCAAACTTCACCTCCAAATTTTTATGTAAGTTAAATCTGCTGCAAGGAACATTAAGGGTGCTTTCATTGCTTGTTTTTGATGAAGCCTGTGAGAGAGAAATATACTTATGCATTGTTCAAAGGTCATTGGGAATCAACTACATCAGTCTCAATATCATATCCACACGTGCGAGTGAAGCACTCTTCAGAAGTGTGAGATTCCAATTACATCCCCCAAAGATCTACTTCTTTCCATCTGCCTCCCCAGGGAGAAGACACAGAATTCCTAGAGTGGGTGGAGCAACCACTGCCACTTAGGATTGCAATGAGGATGAATTTCTTTCAAATTTAACTCAGCAGGCTCTTAAATAGCGACCTACCTAAAATAATAATAATAATAATAATAATAATAACAAAAAAGGCATTTTAATCTCTGGGCTAGGGCAAAAGTACAGGAAATGTAGCATGAGTTTGTGCTGCTTGTTCAATGCTGTCCGTGAAAAGGGAAGCTGCTTACACACAGAAAGAACAGTACGTTGATTAGGTAATTTCAAAGCAGATAGGCCTAAGCTTTGTAGCTACACACCACTGAGCCCTATATACTCAAGACATTCCTCACTTGAAGAAGCAAAGAATGCCACTTTCCATTCTATGACAACAAGGACACAGTGGAGTTTCACTCGCCTTCAGATTTTACTGCATTTGGTTTCATTTAAAAGTGGATATATATCATTAGTTCACATAGAGTGAAATCTAGAGTTTAAAAGGTGTGACGTATCTTGAAATATCTGTCTACCAAACACCTAAAAATGTTAGGGGGAACAAGTAAGGGATGGGGGATGACTCAGGAGATAAAATACTTGTTCATCAAGCATGAGGACCTGAGTTTGGGTCCTCAAGTAAACGTCAGGGGGCATGGTGACCTACCTGTAGTCCTAGCATGCAAGAAACAAAGACAGAAGATTTCCTAAAGCAATGTGGCTAGCTAAAGTAACTGAATCAAGAGCTCAGGGCTCAAGGGAGGCACTCAGCCTCAGCATGTAAGGTCAAGAATGATGAAGGAAGACAACAGGTGTGTGTAGAATGCACTGCACACATGCACACAAGCACACAGACATTCTTCTGCACTCATACATATGAACATACACATATGCACACCACACATGCACACATAAAGATAACAAACACCTTCTGACCATCATTCCTTGCAATTCCAGGCTGCAGATCCAAAGGTGGACAACATCACTGGGCTGACTCCCTGGGAAAGTCAAAAGAGTGGATTTAAGAAGGGAGGGATTAAGAACGACTGGAGATAGTGACTGATCTTCATGGAATGATGTGATAATGGCTATAATTAAAGGCACCTTTAATACAAGTCATTAGAGTAAATACAGATAAAACTAGCTGCTAGCTTATATAAGGTTGCATGCATTTTGTGTAGTTAACAGGGTTAAGATACCCAATAATCTAATTACTGTTGCCACTATGCTTGATGTTTACATAAGTCACAGGCGGAAGTTAGTTTATCAACAAGCCAGGGGGACACTACACAGCTCTGTGCTTTCGTGGGTCTGGACTTTGGGTGCAAACTGTTTGGGCTACATTCTGGATATCTGGGTAATATGTCTACTTAGGCAAGCAGTAGTTGTTCTGAGAGATAACACAGTGGGAAGAAAGTCAGCAGAGAGAGCCAAGACTAATAGAAGGCTAAAAGGCAAGGGCCGAGAGTTCAGGAAAGCAGCAGATGCCAATCTCCCTCCAAATGTCAGCAATAGTGCCTGCTGGGTATAGTTCACCTAAGTGTCTAAGAGCTTATACCGTTTGCAGACTAGGTTGGAAAGTACTGAGGCAGGATAATGGAACTAAAGGTGGGGTCAGAAGGCCTTCCACAAAGCCTTACAAAATTAGCATATTAAAGAAACAAGTTGGCAAAGAGGAAGGCTGGAAAACCCCTCTGCCAAGGTTGAATAAATTCAGCTATTGACAGTCATAGAGCACTCCTGAGCGTCTCAAGGGGACTCATGGCTCTGAACAATATTAAAATACCCAGCCCTGGGGAGAGATGTAAGATGCTAACAAGATATGGGAGAAATGAAGTTGTATGTAGACCTACATGTAACAGCATTCATGGAAAACCCACACTATGCAAATGAGCAAAAGGCCTGAGCTATGTTACATAGAGGCCCTCTCCTTTATGCTGTAGGTCCACTGAGCTGCTGGACTTGTACTGTGCTTGAGCCTGCTTGCCTCAAGCCTGGAAATGAACTATCCCTTAAAAAACTTTCTGCTTCTGTTGCAACTGTTTGTCTCTGCTCAGTTGTTAAATCACAAGGGATTCTGGAATCCCTTTAGAGATGCCCTTCAAGCTGTGAGATTAGCTAATAACTATGCTTTCTGTGGGTGGCATTCACTTTTAAGAAGTGCTCAATGATATTCTGTTCCTTCTTGTTCATCTTATTCTAGTATTTCTATGAAAGGATTCTGAGAGTTCACACAAAACACACACACACAAAACCACACAAACACAACACACACACATACACACACAGCATAAGAATAAGACAAGGGCAGGACATTTCCCCATAATCTGAATTCAGTAGATCACATCTATGTTCAGTCCAAAGTTTAGCCAATATCAACAGACTGTATAATACTGGCCAGTCAAAATACTGCCTCAGAGGACCAGCAGTTAGAACTACAATGTTCAGCCAGAAAAGAGAGCCCTTAGATTATCACAAGTCCTTAGTCAGTAACTATTGTGAAGAGGTTGCTGTCAATAGTTCCCATCACTTCACAGTGTCTCCAGTGGTAGTCTGCTCATTTGTACTCAGGTCTCTGTCTTTTTTTTCCCCCCAAAGGGGATTTTCCTTTAGGCTGCACATTGTCAAAAGCTTGAAAAATTAATTATTCAGAAGAGAAATTTTGACTACAACAGTTGAAAATTCTCCGGAGCTGCTGCTTCCAACCATCTGGACATGTCAGATGTTCTGATATGTCTAGATAAAACCTCTCTTATCAGCAAGGCATTGCAATCCCACAGCACCACTTTCCATATTCAAAAAACCTTTCTTTGCATAGATACGTGTCTGTAAAACTAGAATTTCAAAGCACAGAGACCGGAGTGCCATAGAAGGTAATTATACAGACAGTAGAGTCTTTTTATGCCAGGAAAAATAAAGTACTTGGTGTCTCGTGCAATTTCAGAACCTGATCTCAAAAGGATCATAACAAGGAGAAAATAAAAAGTAGCTTGGTAGACTGCTCCACGGGATGTATTTGTGAGTATGAGATTCAGTAAAAGCGTTGGTAAATAGAAGATCGTTGTCTTGATGTGAATTCCTGGTGGGTACTGACTTCGGTAGCAAGGCAGTAGTAGTGCATGTAAAATATTTTTCCAAGAAATAAACAAGATTGTAGATACATACTTTTTTTCCTGGCTTAGATTTTCTGTGCCTAAAACCAAGAATGGCTTCCTATAAAAATTAAATAGGGCAACCAAAGATATTTTGCAGTTATAGAATATGTTCCTTTCATGTGATTTTTATGGGCGTGTGTGTATGACAGATATAAAATCAGAAAATTTAGAACTAAAAAACATTGATCTCTAAGTTGTTGTTTCTATCAGTTTATTATTTCTGTTCATTGTAATGTGGGTGTTTTGTAAAGTCTCCCATTCTTCATGCTGCACCTAAGTACAACTTTACAAAATTACTTTTTGTTAAGGGCAGGAATTTTGGTACCATTGCAAAAGAGGAACAAGGAGTATTCAAAATGTTAAGTGTTTGGGTTTTTCTAAACTGTGTTGAACCTGCTAAAATGAAAGAGATTGGGATGGGGGGTTCATGTTTGTTTGTTTGTTTGTACATACACAGAAAGAATTTATTGATTACATGTCAGCACTACAAAATTTTAAATATGTTTTTAAAGGGGTGAATTTTTAAATTTATTTATTTTTATTTTACTTTAAGAGTTAATTTAAAGGCAGAAGGATAAGTGAATCTATGTCATAGTTTGTATGCAACTCATACTATTAGTAGTATATTTATTATTGGTCTATTAATAAGATGTGCTCTTTTAAAAATAGTTATCAGAAGAAAATATTGGAAAAAAATTATGAAGTATAAAATTTATCCTAACTCTACTCTGCTTAAAAAGTTATAAAGGTGGAGTTGGGGATTCAGCTCTGTGGTAGAGTGCTTGCCTAGCAAGTGGGAGGCCCTGGGTTCAGTCCTCAGCTCAGAAAAAAAAAGAGTTTTAAAAGTACACATTAATTTTATCAGCAGAGTATATAAAAAGGATAAGAAACAATACATAACTAAAATAATCATATGACAATTAAATAAAATCAATGGAAGAACAGATAAAGTTCATTTCTATATTTTTTAATAATAGTCTATGAAATTAACAAAATTCTAGAAAGGCACAATTGGGGAAAGCCACAACCCATAGAGCAGAAGTTATTGGATAAAAACAATGGCAAATGCCTATAAAAAATCCTTGTGAAATACTGTATTTTCACACTACTCTTTCTGCTTCCTCTCATTTTTATCATTACTTTTTTCTTAGGTTAATGGAATGTTTCTATGTCATTACACCAGCATGAATAAAACAGGACTGTCACTAACTTGAAGCTTGGTGAGTTTATCCACAATATAAACCGGTTCTCCAGCACATCAATTTAGATTGTTCTAAACTGGGAGCTTTTTACCAAAATGGAGTTGAAGTTCTAAGGAATATTTGAGGTTAACTTTTATTCTTTTCTTGTACTCTAATTTGAGAAGTGCAATTTAACTAAAGATGGGCTTAGCTAGATTTAGCAAATAAAACGAATTTAAGTTTACTAATGGTGTACATTAATTAAATCCTTATTTCACTTGTTTTAAAAATTAGAATTCCTCATTTTTTTAAACACTCACTACATTTCTTACAGTTCCCCAAGTGCAAATTTGATCGCATTCAACCCTGTCACTTCTTATGTTGGTGGAAACTAAAGATGAAGATTTAATGACAAAAGATTGTAGGATGTAGAGTTGCAGCTTTTCTCTTTATTTTTAAATTAGAAGCATTTAGGAAATACTTATTTTAGAAATTCTTTGTCCTCACACTGTGAATTTTATGTTCTTCATTTGGTCAAATGAAATTCCAAAGTCTGTGTTTGTTCTTCTCATCTTAGAGGTTTGAGAATTTTAACTTTACCCTCCATCTGCTTCCTATCTTCCAAAACTACTTTGAAATATTTTATTGTTTTTCCTTTCTTCTTTAATCTTTTTGTTTTTTTCATGTTTAAGTCTTGTGTGTGCTTTACCTCTGATCTTACCAGCATTTTAGTTGGAAGAGAGAATGAACTCAATTAGTCAATCTGACCTTTTTCTTTAAAATTAAATATTTGTGACTTAACGTCTTTGCTTTTATGTAGAGAACATTTTGAGGTATAAAAGTGTCGTCCTTCATCCCAGGAAAGTTGTGGTGCATGAGATCATGAATCCAATGACAATCATATGAAGCCACATGGGCATGTGTATGGACATTCAGTTCTAGAATTCTTTGTTTATTTTTTTACAATTTATTCACTTTATATTACAACTGTAGCCCCCTCCCTCGTGTCTTCCCAGTTCTACCCTCCCTTTTCTCCCCTTTCCCTCTCCCCTAGTCGAATGATAAGGGAGGTTCTCCTCCCCTACTATTTGACCCTAGCTTATCAAGTTTCATCAGGACTGCCATGATCTTCTTCCTCTGGAGCTTGGCAAGGCCACCCCACCAAGGGGAAGTGATCAAAGAGGGGGCAACTGAGTCCATGTCAGAGATAAACTCTGCTACGCTTAGTAGCGAACCCACGTGGAGACTGAGTTGTCTTTAGGCAAGCAGTCTAGGCTCTTTCCATCCATGGGCCTTGATTGATGCATCAGTCTCTGCAGTCACCCCCTATCTGACCAAGATTTGTTGGCTTTGTTGGTCTCTTTGTGGAGCTCCTGTCTCTTCCTGGTCCTTCTATTCCTCCCACCCCACCCCCCGCCATCACTCTTCTGTAAGACTCCCTGTGCTCTACCCAAAGTTTAGCTCTTAGTCTCAGCATCTGCTTCCATCCCGTGCTTGGTGGAGTCTTTCTGAGGACATCTAAGGTTCCCTTCCTGTTCCCCCTCTTCAACTACTTCTGGTGTCCATTCTATTTGTCCTTAGGAATGAGAATTAAGCATCCTCCCTAGAGTCTTTCTTGTTATTCAGCTTCTTTAGGTCTGTAGATTTTAGTATGGTTATCCTGTACTTGGGCAAGAGAGGGCTGAAGGACCGGGGCAAACCTGGAAACGGACCTGCAATGTTAGGACAACATGCATCAAGTCTCAGGGACTGGAAAGCCAGAGGACATCATAGAACAAGAGCTCTATGCACTCTATGTATAATATGTCCAAAGATTTTTTTTTTTTGCAATTTAAATCATTATATTCTTTTTGTATTCTGTAATTTAATAAACCTTTGAGTGTGACTTGGAATACTAAACAATATAAAAACAACTGCTTACAAATATTTATCAAATAATATTTGAAATTACTTATAATAGGAGTAGATAAGTTAGAACTTTAAATAGCATGTATATGTATCTAATGTATGTATATTTATAGTTAACTATCAGTCTCTTAGAGTGTTGCCCAAGGAATGAACAGCTTGGGCAGAACCTTGTTCTGTATCAGTCCTTTAACTGAGAACAAGAATACTGTTTATCTAAACAGAGCTTTGCTGGGATTAAAAAAAAATAATAAAGATAAAGATAAAGAGCTTAAAAAAATAGCTTCTCGGGGTTCTGTAGCTTGACAAGTATGCCCACATGAATCTCAGTCTCCTGTTTCCCTTTGAATCATGCATGTCTATAGAAAAGACCACCCGCAAAATTATCTCCAAGGGGACAATATAGGGGAACTGTTCTTTCTCGCCTTTCCACTCTGGCTCTCAAACTTCTGGCCAGGCAAATTCTATTTTGGGGCTTCTGTCCTTCAGTATGACATACATTCCTGGAGATTCAAAATACCTATATCTAACTCACCTAACTCAATCTTTAGGCTAATCTCTAAAACAGAAAACAAAATGAGGTAGCAATTTTTAAAAATGAAAAAAACAAACAAACAGGATTTTCTTTTTTTAGTTACTTTATTTATTACAGTTTATTCACTTTGTATCCCAGCTGTAGTCTCCTCCATCATCCCCTCCCAATCTCACCCTCTCTCTTTCTTCTCCTCCCATGCCTTTCCCTTGGCCCATTGATAGGGGAGGTCCTCCTCCTTTTCCATCTGACCCTAGTCTATCAGGTCTCATCAGGACTGGCTGCATTGTCTTCCTCTGTGGCCTGGTACAGCTGCACTCCTCCCAGGGGGTGGTGATCAAAGAGAGCGTATATTCACATGTAAAAGAATGAGCAGTATTAATAAGGAAAAGTGGTCATTTGAGTTGAACTTTAAAAGGAAAGAAAGACTACAGTCTGGTCATACGTGTACTTCCTTCCTACAAAGGGCTTGGAAAATACTTCCTGAGTGACAGAGTACAGCAAGCTGAAGGTCAGAAAAACTGGAACAGAAACTTTTTGCATGCATCTATTTTTCTAATCTTCATTGTTCCGTTTCAGAGAAAAGGAAATAGATAATCTGAGAGGTAAATTAATGTGCCCATGGTCACACAGCTAATAAAAGCCTCAACTCAAGCATGTGTTATTCTAGTTTCAGAACCCCGAGCTATTTGAATAGACTGGCTGTTCTCGGGAGCCCTGGAAAAGCCCTGAGCTCTAGTGTACCCACAAAGTACCTACACTCTGCATCTGACATCAGTGAGTGTTGCGTATGAGCTGTTGTGGTTTTGTCTGAGTCCATTATATCTATTAAGAATATTATAATTGACAAAAGACATATATTAGAGTTACAGAGATGATATAAATATGAAAATGGGTACACCTGGCTCTAGTGGATGAAGTGAAAAGACATTGAAACAAATCAATTGCTCAAGAAGAAATACCGAGTCCTTGTAGGAGACAAGGATGAGTAGTTACATGGACAGTGAGGATGTTCAAGATTAAGCAAGATATGTTGGGTATGGAAACTTCACTTCACTAATAGAGCTCAGGGCCCAATTATAGTTGTCATTATAAATAGACAACCAATGCAATGGTTCTCTCAGACACACTCATTTCATTATTAATCACCTTCAGTCAGATTTCTCTTTCTTAAAAAAAAAAAAAAAGACTTCTGTTTTCACCACTTTGAGATTTTAAAACTTCAGTAAATTACTATTATCCGCAATGTGGAATGCAATGATTTATTCCTGCATGTAAGATCATCTAGAATCTAGCTGCATACATACATAGCCCCATAATAAACTTCCCTTTCCACTTATGTTATTATATTTACAATCAAAAGAGGCTCTGTTAATCAGTTAACCTCCCTCCCTCCCACTTGTTTCCCTATGTACATCTATTGACTTGCACAATGCTTGCTGTAATTACATTCACCACTTTTCTCATATCTATCCATGGATAACTTTTACCAAATTCATACTGTCACACTGAAGAGTTCCCTAACACACACTACCAACATGCAAGCTAGAACAGTCAAGAGGGAGAGTCCTGCCTCTGGATCCCTGTTGTATCATTCTTCGACAGCTTTCAAAAAAGATGGGGGAGGGAGGAATTAGGATTCCATTTCATTACTTTCTGTACCTTGTCGCTGCCCACTCTGCCCTACTGTGCTCATTAATGATATTCTTGTTAACAGATCTGGTGGCACCTTCAAATCCTTTGCTGTCTTATTGTCTAGGGACACCAACATAATTACTCATTCATTTTTAAATTTTTTCACTTCCAAATCCTTATTGTTTAAAATTGTACAAGTCTCTTATAAGACCATATTTTGATTTTTTTTAATGATCTCTAAATGTAAATGTACAATGGATATCTCTTTCTGAAACTCAACCGTGGATTTTGGGTTCTTCAATAATAAGCATGTTCTTTGTTGTCTGTGATACGGCATTGTTCTGATTTTTGTCTCGTGGGCCCCTCTTTCACCAGCTTTTTGAGATGTGTGTACTTTTCAGCCATCTTAGGCTGTCCTTTCAGTTCACGCTCTCTCCCACACTGTGCTTTTGGCTTCTCTTAAGTTTTTGTGAAAACATCCATCTTTTCCTTCAAGCCAAATCACTCAGCTAAACTTGCTTCCATCACTTCCCTCAAAACACACATCCAAAGACGATTGTTGTGCCAATCTTACCTCTCTAGGCTCTTCTCTCCAGGTTTCTCCTCTTTCTACCTTAGACAACCCAATTCTTGTCTTTTCTTCAACTGACCACTACTTCCTAAGCAGTCCCTCTTTCACCCAAATCTTCCCAGCACAGCCCAACACTGCTGGGATGGCTTCACTGACTATTCTCAGGTCTGACTCAGTTCTCCTCCTGCAGGTGTACACAGCCCCTCTAACAAAATCCTACAACATGTTTTTTCACAGCGTGCCTGTCAGCACAGAAAGAGGGGAAATGAGGTCTCTGTACATCTCTCATTGGCACTGAGAGGTTGGCAGAGGATAGGAGCTCAAAAGACAGATGCTTTGAATGAGTCAATAGGATCGTGAAATTTCACTACTGACCCTCAGCAATTCTCTTCATATAACTACCTATGTATGGCTGCCAAACTATTTCCAGATTTTATATAAAACATGGATTCAATTATCCCTAGCATGTTTTTAGCTGTTTTCTCAAAGTCCTGAGTTAAAAAAAAAAAAAATCTATCATGACATGTGTTGCCTAGACAGATTTGACTGTTTTAGAATTTCAAGTTACAATGTCCAAAATGCCAAAACTTATGTAAAAACTACTCTACTCTTTTCAGAATTTATTCTTAACAAGTTTTTATTTGGCTGTTTATGCTATTTTATTTGACTAATTACAAAGAGGCAAGTTTTCCTTCATATATTTAGGAAGTGTTCTAAAAATAAGAATTGTCCCAGAAAGGAAGACTTAGACTTGGTAAATTCATTGCCAGTGGGTTCTAATTAAAATACATCTCTCAGAGCTCTGTATTTAAAAAACCCTGTTGTTAATGAATAGGTGGGTAAGAGGAATTCTAAAGTCACTGAAGGATCTAATCACCTATATTCTTATGAAATATGTATGAGATGAGTCATTTTTATTCCTTCTTCCTTCATGACCTACAGTGACTTCTGCTAACTTTAAAATTTTATTTTTTTGTGATTTCTGATTTATGTTCTTTGAAAATTGATGCTATCAGGCAGTCACTTTATATGACTGATTGCATATCTTATACTTCTTTTTTTATTTTTTAGAAAAATGAGCAGACATATCTGTTGGATTTGTAAGCTATGCAGAGCTGAATCTAAGAGGCTTCCTTCAAAGTAAGTAGCTTTTAAACATTATGGCCATTTTAAAGACTTTTTTAGTCATGTGATAAATAGCTACATGTTTATTTAAATTATGCTCTAAATATATTTTGTGAGAAAGTAAAATTTTCATTTACACATGAGAAACTTCACCAGAGGAGCAATCATGGGTCGAAATAAAGTTCATTTCCATTATTTGTGGTATATACCTGAAAACGTGGCTACTTTAATGTTTTAGAGAGTCTTTTACAAACATCCTTCAAAAAAAAGTCATGTTTATATTAAGGGAGTTTTTTAAAATTTATTTTATTTATTTATTTATTACAATTTATTCACTTTTCATTCCTCTGCAGCCCTTTCCCTTGTCTCCTCCCAGTACTACCCTCCCTTCCTCTTCTCCCCTTATGCTCTTTCCCTAGTCCCCTGACAGAGGAGGTCCTCCTCTCCTTCTATCTGACCCTAGCTTATCAGGTCTCCTCAAGGCTGGCTGCATCATCTTCCTCTGTGGCCTGGCAAGGCTGCAACTCCCAGGGGGAGGTAAACAAAGAGCCAGCCACTGAGTTCATGTCAGAGACAGCCCCTGTGCACCTTACTAGAGAACCCACTTGGAAACTGAGCAGCCAATGGGCTTCCTTTGAACAGTGGGTCTATGTCCTCTCCATGCATGGTCCTTTGTTGGAGTATCAGTCTATGCAGGACCCCCTGGACCCAGGTATTTTGGTTCTGTTGTTCTCCTTGTGGAGTTCCTGTCCCCTCCATGTCTTTCTATCTCCTTCTTCTTCCATAAGGATTCCAGCACTCTGCCCAAAGTTTGGCTATGAGTCTCAGTATCTCCTCCAATATCCTGGTGGATAGAGTCTTTCAGAGGTCCTCTGTGGAAAGCTCCTGTCCTGTTCCTTGTCTTCTAATAATATGTTTTATTATAAAGATTCAGCCTTTTAAAATGATATCTGCAAATAAACTAAAATGTAAAGTGTGCCTGGAAAGACACCAAAATGACTGGATTTATCACAAAGGATTCACAGATTGAAAACCCCTGTTAGGTTAACCACATATTCTAAACCTAGGCCAAGTGAAGGCTTCTGAACACATTCTTGTATATCAGAACTCTTGACCTCTCTGACCTCCCACTAAGGTAGAGAAGGTCTCACAAGGTCATACACTACTGCTGGGTGAAGAAAGATTGCTGTAGTGGTGGGCGGTCAACCCTAAAACTTAGTATTCTAGTGACCAGTTGAAGATTTGTGAACCATGCAGGCATACCCATAGAGAAAGATAGAATAGATAGATCAGAACAAACTTTCTATGCTCTATCACTATCAAAACTTGAATAATTTTTTTCATGTCTGCTTTGCAGACCCTCCATATGAGTTCATTTAATAAGAGGCTTTTCATTCATAATAAATTTGTCAGATATAGACATAATAATAAAAGCTAAAATGTGGAGATGTGTTAAATCTAGCATGGACACTGGATCCTCCAACCATCAGACTCTAAGCAACAATGCCAAGAGTTTCACAATGTCCACATGTCTGATTACTTTTCAATGTCTTCCTGACGAGAAAAAAAGAAGAGAAACAAAACTGGAGAACTCAGATCAGGAAACCTAGGCTGATCTAGGGGCAAAGGTGCTTAAAATAATATTTAAATAATTCCAAGGATATCATTTTCATCATGGGCCAGCACAAAAATGAAGTTCAAATAAAAATGTCCTCCAACCCACGGTCAGCATGTCTCATAAATCATACAGGCAAAGATATTCTCTTAGCAACAATTTCCCAATACAGTAATGTTGTCTCCCCTCACTCCAGATCTTATTCTTTTCTCCACAAGGGAATTGGTGAGACAAAAGTATGCAAGAAACCTGCCTCACGCTTCCCACTTCAATAGACTGAAAACAATATTTTAGCTTATTCTTCTGAACTTCTAGAGGGAGAAAAAGAACATGAGTCAGAAAAAAATTTTATGAAAATGTCTTTGAGAACTGATGTGTAAGTCTGCATGGATCTGGCAAGACCAACAGAGTTGTTACAGGAATAACAGTGCTGCGTGGTCTGGGTTATATTAACATTAACCTTTTCTTATCTTCATAACCAGTTAATGCTGATGGTCATCAATGACGAATTAACATTCGGGCTGACCCTACCGGGGCAGCATGGAATAGTCCTTGCTTGCATTTTCAGTTTTCTTACATTATACCTAGTGCTAGAGGTGGGAAGACACATGTGAAGCAGAAACTGAATGGGTGATGAACATATTAGCAACTTTGATACAGGGAAATAAAACTATTCATGTGTAAGAAAGTAGGGTCACTTACCAGTCACCTCAGGATGCTCACCAACACAAACAGAATGAAGGCTTCAAGCCAGCATCTTTCACAAACCACTTACAAGTATCGCTTTATTCATTCTGTTGGGTCAAATGTAATTTGACATATTCTACCATCATTAAAGTTAAAAACCTTCAAAATTCGATCTGTAAATACACACATATCATATAAAAACTGAAAAAATAATAAACAAGATATCACATGAAAGTGTGCACATAAGCTTTGTAGATAAACTCTATTCATTAGGTAAGTGGGCGCATGGGTGACAGGGGCAGAAAACACTAGACAGTCGTGTGGCGGCAATGTGGGACCCTGTGTCTGGAACTTTCAGTGCGCCTGCCTTTTATCTGTTTCTACTAATCTAAAAATGTACCACAGCTATACAGTCACGCAAGCTTGACTTCACGTAGCTTAAATGGTAAAAAATGAGAAATACTCAGATATGTTTAGAGCAACTAAATAAGCTCCAGAAGGTGCCTTGTAGAATATTACAGTCACCAAGATGTTCTATAAATGATTCATTTACAAGTTAAGGAGTAAGACCATACTATTTACATATAAAATGTGTATAAGGAGAGTATATAAACAGAAACTATGTATGCAAAACATAATCTTTGGTAAAAAAAAAAAACACACAAATATATACATTTCAAAGGCTAAATCTATCACAATTCTAATAGAAAATTAAAAAATGAGATTATATAACCATTTTTCTATATTAAATGTTTCTTTTCCATTTTTAAGTATGCACCTCTCATTTTTTTTTTACAGTTTAAAAACTCAGTGAAAAGTAAAACATAAAGGATTAAAGAATGATAAGCAGTGCAATCACATTTTGCTATTATTCTCAAGATGACATAGATTCATTTAGTTCGGCAAAACTTTGGTAATAATTTATCGCAATCAGCACTTTTGTTTCTTTTCAAAGCCTTACTTTGGAGGAAGTTTTAGGATGGGCCCAATCCCTGGAAAGTCTGATGGCTACAAAGTGTGAGTATGATGCTTATGTCATCTTTGAATAAGCGGCCTGTTTCGTTCTCATGAGGGAGGGGTGGAGTGCCAGATGACAAGTGTGGCATTGCTTGCCACCTTCTAAATGGCAACTGACAGAGTTAAAAAAGGAAAACTTGAAAATAGCTTGTCATGCCAACCACTGTTATTTTCTTTGGTGTTAATTAAAACAAGATTAGTCACTGTGGGTATTTATTCTTCACAAGTATGTGTATAAGACCCATTGGGAATATGCTGAAATAGTAACACATACTGAAATATACCGCCTTCCATAGGTTACTAAAGTTAGTGCTTGGAAACTATTAAAAAGTTGCTGTTCTAAGTGCTTTCAAAAGTAAGAACCAATCTGAGCCTCGTTCTAAAACTCCATGGAGTTTTTCAGTCTCTGACTCCAGTGGTTCTGTGCATAATGGCACAAGCATCAGATCTCAAAGGTACAAATGAAAGGCCATAGCAATGTGAGTGAACACATAAGTTTAGAAGCAAAATATAGTTAATATGGAAGATGAAAGGCACTCGGGAGAACTGTCTGTTAGGTTTGAAACAGAAAATTGGTAGATGAGCAGGAGCTGTCTCTGACATGAACTCAGTGGCTGACTCTTTGATCACTTCCCCCTGGGTGGGAAAGCAGCCTTACCAGGCCACAGAGGTTATCAATGCAGCCAGTCATGATGAAACCTGATAGACCACAGATAGAAGGGTAGGAGGACCTTCACCATCAGTGGACTAGGTGAGGGGCATGGGAGGAAAAGAGGGAGAGAGGGTGGACTGGGAGGCGATAAAGGAGGGGGCTACAGCTGGGATAAAGAGTGAATAAATTGTAATAAATAAATAAATAATAAATAAAATAATAAAACTTAAACTTAAGAAATAATAAAATACAATAAAATTTAAATTAAAAAAACAGAAGAAAAAAGAAGGTGCTCAAAACTCTACTGAACTTAGTTTCTTTCATCCCATCAAATGTTTGTTAATGTTTGTCGATGGACTTATATCTTTAGTAGAGACATCCCTGTGTGAAGATGTCTGGGAATAATGCTTTGTTCAGCTCTCCTGACTGTGAACAGGAGTCAACTGTGCTACTACGATGTTTGAATTAGTTAGCGGGGGTGCAAGGTTATTCTAAACAGTACAGCCTGTCAGTCTTGGGGGCCTCTCTGTTCCTAGGACACTACCTGCTCTCACAGCCTCAAGAACATTCTTTAGTACATCTGTTATTTCTGACTCACAGGGCAATGATGGGAAACATAAACCCTTGGCTCTTGGCTCTTTCTCTTAGAATTCCTTCACCCTCTAATTTGGATTCTCAGGCTCCTCTGGTAGTGTTGTATATCTCCAGATCTGGAGCACCAACTAAGCGCCTATCTTCAGTTGTAAGCCACTCCACCGACGATGCACATGGCATATTTTCTTTATTTTATTTACAAGATGGCTTGAACTATGCCTTTAACTTATCAAGTACTATTCATAGTTCTCTGATGTAACTCGCCAGCATGATCATGAATTAAACACTGTATCTTTGGGTTAAATTTTAGGGCACATAAAGAGAAGGAGAAGAGAGACTTGCCAGTTAGGTCAGCTGTATTGATTCTTCTCCAAACAGTTTTAATATCAGCCCTAACCCATGTTTACATCATTGCCAGGTTAATCCCATTCCCAGAGTCACAGACATCTCTTCTGTAAAGTGGGGATAATATCATCTCTTTATTCAACACTATTGTACTGGTCAAACATACAAGACATGTTTCAGTACATAATATGTCCTGAGCACAAAAAAAAAAAAATGGCATTTATAAGGTACACAGCTCATTGTCTTTCTGTCTCAGTGTTAAGGATCCATGATACCCTAACTCAACAGTTTTCTAAAAATTGTCTCTAGATGTGTCATTTATAAGACACACCTTCCATCATCATGACCAATGCTCCATCCCTTACCTGTACATCATGACTCTGCCCTCTTACAGGTTTTTGCCCAAGTCCATTTTTCTCACCCAATCCTCCACACCTTGAAAATTAAAACTCAGGTTCCTCCTTTTCTACAAAATGATTTAGAAATGTTCTTCCTGTTCAATTTTGTCAGTTTATTTATTCCTCTTTTAATTGTAACTTGGGTAATGAGTTTTTTTTTCCCAAACTCATTGTGAAACTCTTTGAAAAATAGAAATTGCTTATTAATTTCACATTCCACTGAAAGACTAAAAGTGTCATTTGTACCTCGTAGGCTTATAAGAAAAGATCAATATACCAAGCTCTATTATGTAAATTTATGTGCCAGTGCTGAAGACCTGACAAAGATGAGTAGAATGGATAGAGATAATTATCTCACATGGGTATCAAGTGAGTGCTTGCTTAGTGAGACTCAGTAATTAGATGTACAGTGTCATGAGAATAAGCAAAGACTACAGAAAAGGTGAAGGCAGGAAGGCATCTCACAGCTCTTAGTAAAGTCCATGAAATTATGAAGTCAAATTAGTATGAAATTCATTTTACAATTCTACAATATGATAATTTAAAAGTGACTAAAAAAAAAATCATCCTGTAAGGGGAACAAGGACTATTTCTAACAGGATCTCAAGGACAGGCTCTTTGACCTCCCCCCTCCCCAGGGGAGGAGCAGTCCTATTAGGCCACAGAGGAGGACTTTGCAGCCAGCCCTGAAGATACCTGATAAAACAGGGTCAAATGAAAGGGGAAGAGGTCCTCCCCTATCAGTGGACTTGGAAAGGGGCAGGGAGGAGACCAGGGAGGGAGTGTGGGGTTGGGGAGGGAATGAGGGAGCGGGATACAGCTGGGACACAGAGTTAACAAAATGTAACTAATAAGAAAAATAAAATTTAAAAAAAAGAGAGAGAAACACACAGACACAAAAAAAAATCATCCTACAAATAGGATGATTTTCCAGTTAACTAGAAAAACTAAGAAAGAAACATATAGAAACTGTATGGTCTAGAGAATAAGATTGTGTTTACACTAACCAAAGACACAAATAAAATGTATCTAGGAGGCTAAGATATGCAAATTTCACTTGTTAATGAGATTAAAACACAGCCTCTAAGACTATATGGATCAGAAATCCACATAGAAATGAAATGTACTATTCTGAGACTCAAGAAATAATGGGAAATTAATGAAAGAAATATTCGTTGGGAAACTATAAAGTAATAGCTATATTCAACACAATGCCGTTAAATTCAAAAACTTTATTCAAAGTGGAAATTTGAAAGGGCAAAGTTTATGCAGCCATTTCTAGGAGTGACTGTTTCCCAGCAGAAGTCTGCTGTTCTGGCGCTTACAGTCTTTCTGAGCCCTCTTCTGCAGTGGTCCCTGAGCCCTGGGTGTAGGAGCAGGGATGCAGATGTACACACTGGGGATGTATACACTGGGCTGTGCTGCCTACAGCCTGTCAATACCTGTGTTATGTCCAGTTGGGTTTTCTGTCATTTGCTGTAAAGAAAGGATTCTTTAATCGGGGGGGGGGGGGAAGTGACACTTTTCTGTGGGTACAAGGATAATATTTAGAATGTGGGAAATAATTATGCTGGCCTAGCAAAGTAGTGGCAGTAGATTGTTTTCTAAGGTTCATGGCCTCCCTACTCCCAGACAGTAACTAGGTTTCTGTACCTAGTACCATGATTTCCTTCCTGTTGAGTGGGCCTGAAGTCTGATAAAATAGCTTTTGGTTGCCACCATGATTTAAGTGCCACTTATTGCACCTTAATGCATTTCTTGCCAAAGTCAAAACAATCTCCTTATCATTAACATGAAAGGAGGAAATGTTGTAGGGTCCCATGCATAGACAAAGAACCACAGACCACTAATAAATGACGGAAGAAGAAAAATTAGTCTCTCGCAGGGATGAGCCCCTTATATGGTTTGTCCAATGAAGAGTGATCATCCCTGAAATCCTATATACACAAGCAACAAAAATGAACTCAGCAGTACATATATTTGCACACATACATATATATGCATATAATAATAATCAAAGAAAAGGAAACATGGAAGGACTTCAAGGAAGGTCAGCTGGGAAGGGCTAGATGGGGTGAAAAGTGATATCGTTCTACATTTTTTAAAAAATGAAAAAACAAAGAAGATGAGAAAGAAGGAGAAGGGAGGAAGATGAAGAGAAGAAAAAGTAGAAGAAGGAGGAGGAAGGGAAGGGGAGGAGGAGAAGTAGGAGAAGAAGACATAGGAGGAGGAGGAGAAGGACAAGGAGGATGAGGAGGATGAGGAGAAGAAGGAAGAAGAAAAAGAAAAAGAAGAAGAAATAAGGCTAAGAACAGAGCTATGGCAAAGCCAGTTGTTAATTCAAAATTAAGAATGTTTGTAACCTAAACACACTCTAGGTGTTATTCAATGAGATATTAATGGCAGACAAAGATTTTTTGGTTGTTGTTTTTGTTTTTTGTTTATGTTCTCAAATAATGAGTACATATTGTTTATTTTAGTTATCAGGCAGCATGCCCAGGGAAAACCACATGAACTTATCATACATATAAAATTCCACAGGAAAAAAAAAGCTGGTTTTTTTTCAAAACCTGAAAGTCCTTTAAGAAAGAAGGAAAGGATCACCATTTATGGTAGACTGTGGAGAGACAGAAAATAGTTATTAAACCAACTTTTAGAAGTAATATGAATGGAATTCCAAAGGAAAATTTAGTTTTTAAAAAAACAATACGTTTGATTAAAAATAATGCTAAGGCTGCATAAAGTAATGAATGGTAGTAATTTAAATATAGAAATTATGCAAGTGGTAAAGCGTGTATATATAAAGAGTATCTTTTAAATGAAGAAATGCAGTGTGTTGATTTTTTGGTGTTTGATGTGAAAGTCAGTGTCAGTTAAATCATCCACAGTGAAAGAAGTGGAAAATGCTCTATAAATTTTAAAAATCTACAGGTGACTGAAAATTCTTTACCTTTTCAAATATCTAAATTTTTAAAACATATTTTTCAGAAGGGACAACAATAAATATGTGT